TGCGTTTAGTTCAGATATATTATTTTGTATATTGTTTTGTTATTTGTTTTTATTGCTTATGCATATATATTGCCATCTGTAAGCTTAACAGCTGAAGTGTACGTACACTGAACGTACTCGCTCACGCTGCATGGCGACGAGTCCTCCCCCATAACTTGTGTTTTTTTTTTGTTTTTTATCTTTTAAATACGACAAATACAACTCAAATGCAATAAGTAAAACACCAAAAATACACTTATGCTGAAGGAAACATGGGGTTCCCCCCCCCCCTGCAGCGGCGTCCTCTCCGCCTCAATTTGAGGTGTACATACACCTGAAGCCCGTTGATGCAACCCAAAGATAATATAATTTATCTGCATTTTGTTTTTCTGCTTTTTACTCTTTCATACACGCTCCTTACACCATAAAAAAGGCCATTTGTGTATATATCTTAAGCTCTTTCTATATATAATATATTTTATATATTATATATATATTTTATGAAAAAAATTTTGCCGGGTATCGAACGCGTGCGAGATAGTTGGCTCAGGTGTTGAAATGCGTTGGTTAGCGAGTCTGAAGCGGGATGCTCTGCGTCGAGGGTCACCTGCATTCAAGTTGGGTGTTTGGGTTGCAGGTATAACTGGGGGTTTAATATGGATTTATATAGATGAAAAACAAAAACCAATAAAAGAAAGAAGTATATTTCTCCCCGCTAAGAGAGAAGTACCAATGGACCAGACCGAAATAGACCAGTGGAACAGAAGCCTTTCAGGGGGCAAGCTGCTGCCTGTATCCGGAGACAACCAGCAGCAGCAGCAGCAGCAGCAGCAGCAACTGCTGCAGCAGCAGGGGGTTGAGGCACAAAGAGCTATGGCAATCGAAGCTATAAAACTAAGTGCGCAGCAGCAAGAGGAAAGAGAGAAGCAGCAGCAGCAGAAACTGCAGCAGCAGCAGGGCTGGGTATCACGGCTACTGGGTCTACACGAAAAAACAGAAAACACAAAAACAAAGAAACTGCCTCTATTCTTCGACAAGTAAACACATACAACTGTCTCCCTGTCTCCGGCCAGCAGCAGCAGCAGCAGCAGCAGCAGCAGCAGCTGTTGCTGTTGCTGCTGCTGCTGCTGCAGCTGCTGCCACACTATGTAGACGGGCCGCATTAAAGCAAAGCCTGTAACTC